ATAATTATTATGAAATGACATTTAAATTACTATTTTTCACATCATTTGAAACATTGATTTATTTGACAGCATTTGAAATCTCTCTCTCTCTCTCTCTTTCTTTCTCTCTCTCTCTCAATCACCTTATCTAATTTATTTAATTTATTTTGTATAAATTTTTAAAACATGTAACAAAATTTGTAATTAATTATAACACAAAATATAACATGAAATTATAAACAGATATTTACGTAGAGTTTGAATAATAAAATAACATTAATTTTACTAATTAATGCACAACTCGTCAAACAAATACTCACAAACACTAACTTAGACAATAAAATGTTTATATGATAAGGTCCAACATGTTAAATTAAATAAATAATGTAGATTATATTAAAAGCACAGATTTATTAAAAAAAAAAGTATTATTAGATTTACATAGTGTTTAAATGTATATAACAAAAAAATACTTAAAACATACAATTTAAAGTCGTGTGCTTAAAATATATCAAAACATTGTGATGACATTTAAAACAGCATTATATATTACAAAAATCACATAAAACATACGGTTTTACACAAATATCAAAGTATTTTTAATTAAAATTTAATAAAAGTTTTAGTTTATATGTTTTTAATTAATGCAACAACAATTTTGAATTTAGAACTCTAGCAACAACATAAAACTTACAATCACTAAAGAGTGAACACTTTCATATTGTTAGTTTTATTGTTGGTAGTTATTTGTAAGTCTCTCTCTCTCTCTCTCTCTCTCTCTCTCTCTTTCTCTCACTCACTCAATCACGTTACCTGATTTAGTTAATTATATTATATAATTAAAGATTACCTCGATCATTTAAAAATGCATAAAAGTCAAAATTAAAACATTTTCTGGTTATTAATTAAATTTTTTGAAAATATCATAAAATTTTAATTAATTTTAATACGAAATTTAATATAAAATTACAAACAGATGCATACGTGGAGTTTGAATGATAAAATAATATTAATATAAACTATTGAATGTCCAACTCATCAAACAAATACTCATTCAGACAATAAAATTTTAAATGAAATAAATAAATTAGATTATATTAAAAGAACAGATTTATTTGCAAAAGTATTATTAGATTTACATATTGTTTCAATAAGTACAACATAAAAAAATATTGAAAACATACAATTTAAAATATTTCAAAACATTGTGACATTTAAAACAGCATGCGCTAAATAGCCAGTAATGACCATTGCAATTTATCTGGTAGCACACCATGCTCCCCAAGCGTTTTCAATACACATCTTGCCATTTGGGCATGGGGTCTTCCCTGGACCACACGGGATCTTCTTGGAGTACTTGACTTGGGAGTGTGCTAATTGAATAGGTGTTTGTTCTTTACCATTACATACAGCCAAAATAATAGGTGTAATATCAGGGCCATAAACAAAGCCATCAAGGCAGGACTCCTCATTTTTGCATGCATATTCAGCACACCTTTTGCCCATCACGTGGTACGACGGCTGATAGGCCGATACATGAGTTTTAGGTAAATGAAATTGCTTTTGTCCATCTTGGTGGTTACCTAAATTATTTGTTATATAAATATTTAATTTTATTTTATTAGGCGTGTGCACTGAAAATACACACAAGCTTAATGCACCATGTATTAAAATAACAATAAATTCAATTCACCTGCACAGGATGCCCCTTTAGCGTTTGCAATACACATCTGGCCATATGCGCATGGTGGATCACACGTGGACTTCGGTCGGAGCATCTCAATCTCGTACGCATTTAACATACCGGGTCCTAATGCCACCATCACCAGCATCATGGTTAACACCACAATCATTTTGTTCATTTTTTTGTCGGTCGATTTTGGTTTTGCTTGTTTTTTGTAGATTGTCTTGAAGTGAAGTGAATGTATGCTAATAAAATCTGTTTTACAAATAGAGCACAGATGGATTTGTAAATGTTTATAATGTATATTTATAAATTAATAACGTTTATAATTTTTAAATTTATAGAGCGGTCAGCATATTTTAATTGAGCCATTTTATTAATTTGCTTAAGAGGTAATTTAATTTTGTAACATGTATGCTTAATGGGATAATTCCGAATGGGATTAAAAAAGGTTAATGTTTTATAATTATAAATTGTTATATCTTTCAAACTACTGTATTTAAAAATGCACTTTTAGTACTTTTTGTGTATATATTTTTAATATATTTATTGAATTATTAAATTACAATATTAAAGTATTATAAACTTTATGTTAAATGTAAAGCTTTATATTAAATTTTAACCGGATAATGGGTATTGTTTTGTTGAATATGTAGATTCTGAGCGGTCACCAGATATTGTACCCGAAGTATCGGACAATAAACAGTACACTTCGTTAACACAATTAACAAACAATTACTTTATTGAGAGAAATATAATTAGAGAAATGCCTTCGAAGAGAGGCGGAAATAGACTACAAACTCATACATGAAATGCACTACTATTTATAGGGATAATTGACATTTAGGTAATTAATATGAAATTAGTAATAATAGGCATATCGTATGCTATGAGCTGTTTTAAGGGAGTGCTGATTGGTCAGAGAGAACATCAGACTCATCATGATCAGTCACTGGAATATTACCAGGAGTGATAATATCAAGTTCACGACAGTTTAAAGTAGTTCTATAATATGAATGTATTATTTGACAATGACATTATTTGATAATTTAACTAGATTTAATATGCTAATTATGATTGTTTTATAAGCTAATCATATATAAAGCTTATTAGATAAACGATATCTAATACACGACTCGAGTGTGATTAAGTTGATTTATATTCATACAACAATTTAATTCAAAACTACGAGAGAGCAGTAGAGGGGTTGATTCTGCATTATATTATATTTTACCTTATGTTTTAATATACACTATTAATTATCATATTTTTAAGTGTTAGGTGATAGGCGCTGTTTGGCGACACAACAATATCATATGATTAGCAAACGCCAGACAATTAGTGCTCACTACAAGTGACTACACCGTCCGGAGGGGTCAATTGGTTGTCCACATCGACCGCATTCAACGCTCAGCAGCCGCTGAGTTATCCATGGGGTCGGCCACCGGCACCGCCACCGCCTTCATTGCCCCCCTCATCTATGGCACACTTAACCGGCGCTCAATTAATAAACATTTAATAGACATAATTAATTATCTAGACTCAATTAAAAAGTTTGATAGTAAGCCCGATGAGATTGAATACTATCACACCATTTACTATTTGCTCACAGTTATTATAAGTATTAGCTATTATATTTTTTAATTGTTGTGATTTTAATAATTATAAAAACTATTTAACAATAAACATTAATTTAAAAAACATATTTATTATGTTCAAATATTTTTTAAATATTACAAATAAATGATAAAACATGTTCATAATAATTTCAGGAATCTATTATATTAAAAATTTAATGTTATATTATATAGTATTTAAATAATTTACAAATGCAATATATTTATTTTATATAATATATATAATATAAATGTATTGTATTTGTAAATTATTTAAATTAAATTAGTGTTTTCTTTACTTTACTTTACTATACTGTATCAAAAGTTATACAGTATGCATTTTTCAAAAAATAAATAATTCTATGTATTAAATTATGCTTGTATTAATGTATTAAATACATACAGTTAACCCTTGTATCTTGAAATGGTCGGGTCTTGACAAATGACTTCAAGATAGAAAAATTTCAAGTTAGAAAAATTCAAGTTACAATGTTCAAAATGAGTAAAATTTCAAGTTAGAAGTATATAGTCCAATAAAGTCTAAATATGTCCAGTAATTACGTTGATTATACACATTTTTTTGTCAATTTTTTCATTTAAATGACGTAATTTTTGAAACTTCAAGATAGGAGTATATACAATAGCTATTGAAACCCAAAAAATTACTTCAAGTTACAAGTTAGAAGGTTCAAGATATGAGGTAATTTAACATTAGGCTTCTATGGAATGAATCGGGACTTTGAGATTGACTTCAAGATAGGTAGAAATTCAAGATGGAAGGCTTCAAGATACAAGGGTTAACTGTACATGTGTATTCACTATTATTCATCTATTTAATAGATAAATTATATTTATTTTTTAATTTAAACATAATAGGTATAATGTTGTAACAGATTGAATGTAACTGCAATTAATTTAAGTTTAATTTTACGCACATAATAATTGATAAACTGGTACATGCACTCACACACAAACACCGATCAATTATACAATGTATCTTGTTGCAATTATTATAACATAATTAATAATACACGCGTGACGGGTGAATATTAAATAGTATGTTTTATATAAGTTATGTCATACTCACAGTATTGAATTTGCAGTGCATATACCGTAGATACAGTACATGTAAAGTTTATATAAAGATTTATATATCTGTTTGTATGTATCGTACACTGTGTATGTAGTATGTAAACCATATGATAAGTATAGACTGCAAAAAAATGCGTTTTTAATGCTTTTGCACAGAAAAAAATATTTATAATCCATTATTACAAATATTAAAGCTGTGTTCAAATCAATGAATCAAACATTACTTGTATATAAAGTTAAGTTTTTCAGTGACTAACGCATCAAAAACGCATTTTTTTGCAGTCTATAATGATAAGTAGCTGTATTTTATTATATTAGTATTGTTTTAAATAAATTTTTCTTAATTATTTAATGAAATCTTTGTATAGCTTTATCTGTAAATATGTGTTAAGTATTGTATTTAATTATTTCACTTTAATAATCTCTCTCTCTCTCTCTCTCTCTCTCTCTCACTCACTCACTTTACGTGATTAATTTAATTATTTACAGAATTTATAATTAAATAGCACAACATTTTCTGTTTATTAATTAAATTTTTAATTAATTATAAAACAAAATTAAACATGAAATTACAAACAGACACTTACGTTGAGTTTGAATAACAAAATAATATTAATTTAAACTATTGAATGGCCAACTCATCAAACACATACTAAAACATTTTAAATAAAATAAATAAATTAGATTATAATTAAAAGTACATAGATTTATTTCATAAAGTATTATTGGTATTACATATTGTTTAAATGATTATAACATAAAAAATACTTAAAACATACAAATTAAAAATTGTGAGCTAAAAATATTTCAAAACATTATCATAACATTTAAAACAGCATGCGCTAAATCGCCAATAATAATCATTACAATTGATCTGGTAAATGAGATTTATCATGCACACCATGACTCTTTAGCGTTTTCAATACAGTCCAGGCCATCTGGGCATTGGGGCAACTTTGGACCACACGTGATCTTAATAGGGCGCACGGAGTACTCGACCATGGTGTTT